AGGCTTCTTCTCACTCTTACACTTTTTTCCAAGTCTCTGTTCTAATGTCATCTTAAAAAGGTTCTTTTATCACTCATAAAAAAGCTATAGTGCTACATTAAAGTAATTACCATTTGTATTACCTTTATTTTCCTCCATAGTTCTACTATCTGATATCTTTTTATTTTCTTCTTAATTATGTTTCTCTGATTAAAGTATAAACTTCAGAATGATATGGATATCTTTTCAATACTATACCCAGCGTCTGGCTCAAGGTATGTACCTAATACATGTAATACTTTTAATACTGATAAATGAGTACCCTCAGTTCTCTCAACCATTTTTTGGTATGTGATCCAGGTTTCTCCTTAGAATATATGTGACCTCCTATGATTCCAGAGTTATTCTTTCTAGTCCTGACATGACAGGAAATTAGAGATTCTTCCATTCTCTAATAGTAGTTGATTTTGCAGTTTATCAATAGGTTTCACGTTTTATAATTTTGTAATTTTGGTTCTCTTCTATGCTTATTTTTGTTTTGAGTATTTGGGGATTTTGTTGAAAATACTTTTTGTTACATTTTCAAAGTTGAAGAACTTAAACATCAATTTAAAACAATTAAAATTAATTGAATTTGTTGGTGATAGATTTGATTAATCCAAAATGTGTTTAAGTATGCTGAAATTGTTGAAGATATCTAGATGTTGTGATTTTGCTAGTTTCTTGAAAATACATGCTTCAGTTGCTTCAAAAAAATTCTAAATTCTGAGGAGTCTGAAAAGATCCATACCGTAGAGATCTTTGGAGATATTTTTGTAGCTGGACACAGAGTGCAATAAATATTTCATTTGTAGAATATTTGTATACCTGTTTCATAGTTTCTAACATTTTTGAAAGATCCTGGGACATATCATGCCCAAGATGCCTACCCTTTCCTGTAGGTTGAGAAGTTAGATATGGTAAAAGATAGTATCAAAAAGGATAGTATTAAACATTTGTGATGACTTCCATTACTTCTTGGTTCATTGCTGGGAGTGGGAGAGTAAGAAAGTGAACGAATGCCAATTTATACTTTTATTTCAAACATTTCAATGTGATCTCTAATAGGAATCTCAAATCTTTTTGTTTTTAAATAACCCATAGAAGTTATAATATGTGAGTTGTTATATTTTCTTTCTCTGTCACAAGCTTATTTTTAAGTACATATATTTTCAGATAATTTGTATCCTCTGGGCATTCTGAATCCTAACTGAGTGACTAGTCCAGTTATTTTCAACCTCTTTTTATCTAATAGCACTCATACTAATTGCTAAAATTCTGCAGCACACCAAAAAATATATTTTTTGCCAATCTGACAAAAAATAGGTATAATTTTGATTCATTTACACTGGACAGCTATCGTTGTGTTGACTGTTGTCATTTATTTGACAATCTAAGGGAAAATAGGTCAGGTATTGCATATTTTAAAAATTCTTGTGGCACATCGGTTGAAAATCGTTGGACTATTCAGACACATATGAAAACTCCAAATAGTTGTATTTTCATGATCATAGTGTTTTCATGAGAGCTATAGATAGTGGAAAACACTCCTTTCTCTTTTTCTCTGAAAGATGGTAAGTTCAATTTAATTAATTAGATAAGGATATAAAACTTAATGTAAATTAAGTAGACTCAGAGAAAAGAAACAGAACATTGTATCTTAGCATGTTTTTCCTTGGCCCCTTTGTGCAGCAGCCAGGAACTTCTTATGACAAGTTTAGGGTCTTGCCAGATATGAAAGAATCAATCCTTTGCTGTTCCTTAGGCTCTTTATATTCTAAGCTTATGTTACCATTAATGAAGTACATACTTCAAATAATTTAGGTCTTTAATAATAAACATGTTTCTCCAGGACACAATTCATGTGGGGAGGAGGGGGAATGGCGTAGGTACAATGTTTGGGAGACCTTGAGTAGTGAGGCATTGTAATATTGACTTTAGTCCAAGAACCACAATGGAAAATCTGTTTCTCCATAGTTTTAAGATTCTGTGGGGAAAATCTTATTCAGAAGTGGTTTAATTTAGAATTGGAAATGTATTAGACTCTTCTGTTCACAAGCAATAGAAACTAACTATGGTTAACTAAAATACAAAAAAGGACCTAGATCATTAGAAACTTATAGAATATGAGAGAGAACCAAATTATAAATACTTAAAGGGTACTATAGAGCCTTGCTCAGTGGTTTAAGAGTTGAACCAAGAAAAAATGTACATCAGAATTTACTTTTGCAACTAACATAAACTGATCAGAATATTTTTGTAGAAAAAATTAGAAAGCAAAAATCACTCATTACCTCCTAGATATCCAACCTAAAAATGAGAAAGAAAAACTTGATATTTACATTAATATTTGTTTACTAGTAAAGTTGAACACATTAACATAGCCATTTATAGTTTTTATTTGGTAAATATCTGCTCAAGCTCTTTGTTCATTAGGGCAGATATGGTTCTTGGTGAAGGACCCTCACCTTCTCACTTTGTTCTAACATGGTAGAGAGAGAGAGAAAGTTCTAGTCTCTTTTCAAATGCCAGCATGAGGGTCCCACCCTTATGATCTCATACAGATCTAATAATTACACAAAGTCCCCACCTCTGGATACTATCACTAGAGGTGAGGTTAGGGCTTCAACATATAAACTTTAAAGGGGTGAAAACATTCAGTCCATAATACTTTCATTATCGTATCCCTTCTCCACCTCTGCCTGAGGAGAATAATCGTTTATTTTTAATTCGCTTTTTATTAGGAAAATTACTTTCTGTAAATCATTCTGGCATCAAAGAAAAACACAAAGTAAAAACTGAAAGTTCTTTCTTTGATCCTCAGTAATCCCATTCCCTGGGAGTAACTAATATTAACTACCGGAATATACAAAAAGTTATTGTGAGTATGTGTACATGTATATGTGACTAATTTTTTACATTTAGATGTTCAGTTCATCCGTGTGGTTGAGAATAAAGGAGTGTGTGTGTGTTTAGTATAAAGCAAGTTATCTGTTAGCTCTTTATCTTTTAGCATGACTTGACTAATTGATTATTTCCCCACTCATACAAAATAATTAACTGTATTATATACCATATACCATTATATATGTTGGTCTGTATGCTTTCAATTGTTTTATGATATTAATAGTAAGATTTTTATTATTTTTACTTTAGTATTTTTCTCTCTCCAACTGGGCCTTTGTTGTTTTTGATATATTTCTTAGCTATTTTCCTTAGTCTAGTTTCAAGAATTTTTATCAGTGTTTTACTGCAATTGCATTTAATTTGTGTGTTAATATGAGGAGATTTGATGTTTATATAGTATTAGGTATTTTCATCCAGGAATATGCCATATCTTTTATTTATTCAAGTCAATCATTCAGTTTTATAGGTTCTTTGCAACTTTTTTTATGGATACTTTAAATATTAAAGTTTTGCAGATACTAATCTTTTTTCTGCAATAAAGTTGTAAAGATTATCACTTATTATAACATGTTGATTTTATATTTTGCATGCTCTGTAAGTGACCACATTATTGGTTCTAATGCCCATTACTTGGCCTTCTTAAGTTTTTCAGGTAATAGGTTTTTCAAATAATGATTGTTCCTTTCTAATTTTTATTTTTTTCTGTTTCTTTTTCTTATCTCCTTGCATTGGACTTTTCGGTCTCAGTTGAACTATGAAGATAGTAAGCCATCTTGTCTTCTTTTTAAATTGGATTGTTTGTCTTCCTTTTGTTAAGTTGTATGAGTTCCTTATATATTTTGGAGATTAACCCCTTATCAGATGTAAAACCATTTCCCCTAAGAACAGGAACAAGACGAGGTTATTCTCTTTCACCACTCTTATGCAACATAGTACTGGAAGCTCTAGCCACAGCCAAGAAGACAAGAAGAAAACATAAAAGGCATCCAGATTGGAAAGGAGGAAGTAAAACCATCATTATTCGCAGATGACATGATATTGAACATAGAAAACCCTAAAGACTCCACCAAAAAACTACTAGATTTAATAAATGAATTCAGCAATGTAGCAGTATACAAAGTTAACACCCAGAAATCGATGGCATTTTTATACACCAATAATGAACTCAGAAAAAGAAACTAAAAAATCAATTCCATTTACTGTTACAACAAGGAAAATTAAGATCTTAGGAATAAACTTAACCGAGGAGGTAAAAGAGCTGTACTTGGAAAAATACAGGACTTTGTTTTATGTTTTAATATAGTTGTCAGTGAACAGTATCTTACTTGACTTTAGAATTCATGATTATCAGTTTTATTTCTCTTAAAATGATTTAGATTTGATCCATTGCTTTTATGAAGGAAATTAGTATTATAAGGGAGAAGTTTGATGTCATTTAACTTTTGCTTGTGACATTTTTTTTCTTCATCTGTGAAATGGAAAAAGGTGATTTCAAATTTTTGGTTTTTAAATTAATGTTTTCTGGCAATTGGTGTGTCTTAAATTAAGTTTTTAATAGAGATTTTTGATAGAGGGAACCTTCAAAGGGAGATACTTTGGTATTATATTTGGTATTATATTTGGTTTGACATATCCTTCAGGTATTAGTTATCTATTACTCTAAACAAGTTACTCTAAAACTTCTTCATTTTAGAAGAACATAAATTTATTACCTCTTAGTTTCTTTTGGCCAGGAATCCAGGTGTTGCTTATTTGGGTTCTTTGCTTCAGAGTCTTACAAGGATGCAGTCAAGTTGTCAGCTAGGGCTGGGATCTTATCTGACTTAGACTTGACTGGTAAAGGATTTGCTTCTAAGCTTACCCTTGGCCCAATCTAGGGTTTTTTCCACTGCAACACATATTGTTGGGTATTTGCTTTATTTAAGAGTCGCTCTTTGGGTCTTACATCCAGCCCTGGGAGTGTCTGGCACTGTTTACTCAGTTATAAGTGTGTATCTGTAGGAGGGGAAGAAAGGAGGGAGAGAGAGCAACAAAAGGGATGGGAGAGTGATCATATTTTAGCATAACATTTTTTTATTTTAAAAATTATACTTTTATTTTTTTCCATAGGTGCCTTAGCTGGACCAATTATTGTGGAGCCACATGTCACAGCAGTATGGGGAAAGAATGTTTCATTGAAGTGTTTAATTGAAGTAAATGAAACTATAACCCAAATTTCATGGGAAAAAGTACATGGCAAAAGTTCACAGACTGTTGCAGTTCATCATCCTCAATATGGATTCTCTGTTCAAGGAGAATATCAGGGAAGAGTCTTGTTTAAAAACTATTCACTTAATGATGCAACAATTACTCTACATAACATAGGATTTTCTGATTCTGGAAAATACATATGCAAAGCTGTTACATTCCCACTTGGAAATGCTCAGTCCTCTACAACTGTAACTGTATTAGGTAGGTATGCTTGAATTATATATTTTGGTGGTAGTTGTGAGGATTATACTGAAAATATTTTCAAGAATTTAAAATTATTGAAATTACATATAAATTTAGGTTTAAACTAAATTCAAATATAATTTTTCAAGCTCTATGTTAATTATATGTAGGTCTTAGCTATTTTACTTTTTTCATGAAAGATTGCTTTTTATTTATACTGGGTGCTGAGTTTCTTTGCCATACTTACTTTCATTATTTCCCCTCAAATTTTCAACTTGTATTTAAATTACCACCTTTAAATAGCTTTTCCGTTTTTTAAAAATGACTTTCTTCTTGGATCATTGACACCTCAGGTTTGTTTTTCAAATCAAATTTTATTTCTGCTATCATGGATTTGCATAGGTATTTGAACCCTGGGTTTCTGTTCTAATGAAAGATCTACCCTTTTCTATCTGATAACTGTTCAAGTTTATGGTGGAATTTCGAATGAGCTAATATATTAACATTAAGATAGCCACTTTCAGTGAAAGATAAACCAATTTGGAAATGCTGGTGAGTACTTTTGAATAGTGGGACAAAGATTCAGGAGTTAAATATCACCTTAGACATTTCCATCCAAAGTGGGGCTTTTTTAATGGGGGCAGTCTTTGCTCCAAGTCTGCCTACTTACCTGTCAGATTTTGTCAGGTCTGCGGGAGGCTCCCCCCATTTCATCCTTTCTCTTCACTTTCTCCCAGATGCTGCTCCCGTTCTCACCTGGTCTGAGTCTGCTTTCAGAGAACGGAGCACATGCACAGCCCCTAATATTTAATGTACTAATTTTAGGGTCTCTTAAATTCAGGAAAGCAATTTTGTCCAGATTTGTTACATGTATTTTCATGTTGAGAGGTAGTATGTAAAAATAGAAGTAAAATTAAATATTTGAAGACTTTATATATTTAAAACACTGTCCTAAGAGTTGTGGGGAAATATTACTGACATTTATGAAATTGTTGCTTTTGAGAAATGTTTTGATTGGAAGGCAAGGCATAAGTATCTGAAAAATCAAGTGCAGACTGTCAGGATTAAAAAAAGGTCACAAAAAAGTTCAGTGTCAAGGAAATAATAGATAAGTAGTTTGTATATGGAAGAGAGCTCGTGGGAATAAATTTTTTTGCTTTAAATTTTAGGAATTTCTCCTAAATTAATACAGTACTCAGTGGTTTAAAGCTCAAGACTGTTCACAGTGTAAGACTAATAATAATTTGCCCATGCCTACTTTTTTAACTTCACCTATTTCATTCCTTGCTCCCCCTCTCCCAGCACCCATAGTTCTGTTAATACCTGTCTATGTTTTTACATCTGTTTGTTCTTCTGCCTAGATTGCCTTCTTTTTCCTCCTGTCTCTCTCATCCTATATCCTTCTATTTCACTGCTATTCAAACCACATCCCTTTGGAAGCCATTCTTGAAAGATCTACTGCCTCCACAATTGGATGATTTTCGTTCTTTTGCCACTGTATCTTGAGCATGTCTTTATTGTAGCGGTTGCCATACTGTTTATTATATGCTTTTTTTCACTGTAAACGTGGTGGACTTCAACTTTACACTTTAAAATTTAACATTGTATCCCTAAAACCTATGAGAGTTCCTAGTTTATAGCAATCTCATACATTAAGAAGGGTATAGGAACTTGGTAGTTCAGAAATGTTTTGTAGAAAAAAATAGTTGCCAGTTCTTGAGTGGTGGGTAGGTTTGGGATAGGCAAAAAGGAAAATAGAGTGAAAGTAAGTGAACCAAGAGAGTTTGGCAGAAAACAATATATATTAGGGCAGAATTTCTTCAAAGCCAGCAGTTGTTGAAACTTGGGACTGGGATTTGTTGTGGTGTGCTACCCTGTTCATTGTAGACTGTTTAGCAGCATTTATGGCCTCTACCCACTAGATGCTAGTAGCAGTCCCTCAGTTGTGACAACTTAGAATATCTCCAGACGTTGCCAAGTGTCCTCTGTGGGAGGAGAGGAGAGATCGATCACTCACTGTCGAGAGCCCTCATTAGTGGAACCACTGAGTAATTTGTTGATTGTTCAAAGGATTTATATAAATTACAAGAATGAAAGGCTAGAAAAGTAGAGTAGGACCATATTAGAGTAACTTGAATGTTAGGGTGGGGAATTTGAACTTTATATTACTAGAAATGTAAACTTAGTGTGCAGTGTTGTGCTGCTTCTCCCCTCCCTTCTCTCAGGCTCTTGCTGTTTTAAAGTGTGGTTCATGAACTGGCAGCATTAATATCACTTGGGAGGTTGTTAGAAATACAGAATTTCAGACCCCTCTCAGACTTATTGAGTGATAAATCTACATTTTATCAGGATCCCTAAATGATTTGTGTACACAGTAAAGTTTGAGAAACTGCTTTGACACTTTCTCACCTTGCTTTGAGGGATGACTAACTCAGACCTGATTTAGGTAGTAATGTGATAAAAGTTGTGATTTAGGATGATCAGTGTGGTGGTTTTGATGAATTCAAATGAAGAGTTCCTGAAATTATAATGCCTCAGCCATAAGGCCATGAGGGCTTGAAATTAATTTACTAATTTCTGCCACTTGACTGAAGAAGGGAGCTATTGTAAAGGAATAATTAAGATCTTGTAACTGACTGGATATAAGAAACAAGGGAGGTTTTAACAATAACAGGTTTTGAACCTTGGTGATTGAGTAAATTTAAGTGGGCATTTCTTTAAACAGGTATTAGGGATTGGTAGCAAGATGATAGTTCAGTATTTGGTTTCTTGAGTTTGAAGAAAGATAGGCCAAAAATACCAGGCAGGTGGTTAGAAACTGTAGAGTCATACCTTAAATCAGAGTTGGAGAAAATTAGGTATCATCTGGGTAGTAGTGTTTATCAGATAAAAGTTTTTAAGGGAGATACAAAAAAATGATTGAAGGCCTTTGATAGAAAGTGTCTAACATTGAGGTTACTTTTCCCTTCTGAGGAGCTTTATACCAGGAAAAAGTAGGTGGCACGTACATTCCAATGAACAAGTATTAGTGATATTTTGTTCTAACAGTGTCGGTTCTATACTTGTAACTTGTTTTTATATTTTCTTTAAATATTTTTCTGCAAAAATGAAGCATATATTAAAACTACTTTTTTCTTTCAGAGTAATAATACCTTTAATTTCATAATGGAAATTATCCATTTCACAGGAATTTTTTATGTGCCAATTTTGGGAAGGGCTCACCTGTCCCTATAAAGAAAAGTGTATCTCTACCAGGAGAGCCATCTTTGTAATGGTTGTATAAAATCTTGGCTTCTTATTTGTCTTGGTTCATGATCTTTTCTTGTTCTAAGAATTCATTTGATGCTGGCATTACCTAAAAATGTGTGTGTAGATTTTATATGCAGTTACTCCTAAATTTATGAAACATGTCTAGATGTGGCTTGGAGGGATATAAATATATTCTTAATTGTAATGTAACTTTATTTTTTAAATTTGAACAGTTGAACCCACTGTGAGCCTGATAAAAGGGCCAGATTCTTTAATTGATGGAGGAAATGAAACAGTAGCAGCCATTTGTATTGCAGCCACTGGGAAACCAGTTGCACATATTAACTGGGAAGGTGATCTCGGTGAAATGGAATCCACCACAACTTCCTTTCCAAATGAAACGGCCACAATTGTCAGCCAATACAAGCTGTTTCCAACCAGATTTGCTAGAGGAAGGCGAATTACTTGTGTTGTAAAACATCCAGCCTTGGAAAAGGACATCCGATATTCTTTCGTATTAGATATACAATGTAAGTAAATGGTAACATTTGCTTTTTAAACATGTGGTGCATTTTCTTTTTATTTTCTTCCTTTGAAATTATTCTGTATCAAACTGTTTTTAGTTTGAATATTTAGTATTTAGAAATTCTTACCATTTTTCCATATTGGTATTTTTTCCCTTAATTTTTAAATTATTTTTGTGAAAATTTCATTTAACCGGAACATTTTTTTATCAGTTTGTAAAGATGGACAATGATATTACAGTTGTTCTCTAACTTAGAATTATCTAATTTTATCCTTTTTTAGACCTTAAAAAATAAGCTGAACTAAGTAAATTGTGGAAATTTATATTTCAAAATGTACAATACTTAGAGACAAACTACTTCTCCAATCAATTATTTTAGCTGTTACTCAATTTCATTGATGCCACCCATGATGTTTTCATTTTCCAATAAGAGTCTTTTACTTCCTAAACGCATTTAAATTATTTTGAAAATCTGTATTCTTTCAATATTCAAACACAATTTTATTGATCATTAAGATTCTCATATAGGTTAAACTATTTTAAATACATCATTGGATAACCATAATAGACAAGACTCAAAGCTGGCCCATCTTTTATTTTCCTGTTATGGGATACTCTGTTGTGTTTATATTTGTGTGTGTGTGTATGTGTGTATGTACTTTTCCCTTTACATTCTTTGTGTAGCATTTTAAAATTTGAGCAATTGAAAACTGATGATAGCTTATAGCAAAGAAAATGAAAATTAAGCAGATTAGAGATAAAATTAGGAGAGCTATTTAGGTTATGCTATCATTTCCATCAATTCACAGATCATAAATGTAGACAGGTTTATGAAGACGTTCTGTCTTTCGTTTTCCTTTTTTTGTTTTTGTTTTTTGTATGCTGCATGGAATTTTAAATCACATATATTCATTACACTTGGTGTAATAGTTTCTAAAGCTACTTCTAAGGATTTTAAAAAAACATTTATAGGATTAAACTTGAGAAGATATCTATGTGAATGTTATTGCCGTTGTATTCTTGAATACGAATTCCTCATTTTCTCCTTACTTCTCGGGAGGATCCAACTAAATTTTTTTTCCCTTTTCCTACCTTGCTTTCACAGACCTAACTTTTTCCTTTTTCTTGTAAAATTCAGATCTTAATTGTAAGTACTATTAATATTTTTCTCATATTTTTTCCTTTCCTGTGTCTAATCATAACTGAAATTTTCTTCAGTTTGTATTATGTATATTATTAATTTTTGTTTGCTTGAATGCAGTCCTAAGTATGTAAAAATATTTTTTCCAATACCTAAGACTTTATCATTTAGATTTATTGGCATGCTCCTAAAATGTTGTTAGAGTTCTTTTGACTTTTTCCTCTTAATTGGGACCTATAAAACATGTGAACAAAGTTTAAGAAGATAAAATCTTACATCCAAAATTCTTCTCTCAAAATTTGGAGGTATTGTTTGGGGATATTTTAATACCTTTCCCCCCCTTCTTTTAAAAGAAATTAAACTGACAGATATCTATACTGTCTTTTTAGCAACATTTTTTAGTACCAATTTTAAGTTTCAAAAATATTTGTGTCCTGGCTGGTGTGGCTCAGTTGGTTGAGTGCCCTCCTTTGCAACGAGAGGTCGCCAGTTCAATTCCCAGTCAGGGCACATGCCCAGGTTGCAGGCTCAGTCCCCAGTAGGGGGCATGCAGGAGGCAGCCAATCGATGTTCCTCTCTCATTGATGTTTCTCTCGTTCTCTCCCTTCCTCTCTCTCTCTAAAATCAATAAAACATACTCTTAAAGGAAAAAAAAAATTGTTCATTCTTGGTATTTATAAGAGGCAGGCATTTCTTTTTTAAAATTCTAAGATTATTATACTTTAGTGAAAGTTTAATTTTTTTACTACCTTTTTGTGAACCTTGCTTGATAGTAGGTCAGGCTTTTCTGACATAGTTAAAGACTAACATGGTCTCTCTCTAACCTCCCATCTGACCATGTACTGTTTATCTAATTTACTATGTAGGTCACAGAAAGATGGAGGGTCCCCTGTACCTTGTATGAGTATTAGTTCCTTATTTAAGTCTTTCATGACATCCCCAACCTCATCCCCAATCTAAATTAGGCCCTTCCTCTTGTCTTCTGTCTTAGCATACTATTCTTTGCTATAACAGGTTTTAGTTAAATAGTTTTTCAATGTTCATTTTCCTATTACTATTAAAATACAATTTTACGAATATAGAGTCTATATGTATACCAAACACCTAAAACAGTTACTGTCACTTATTAGTAACTAAACATTATGGTGGTTGAATGAATGATTAGTATTGGATTTTGTAGTTTGAAGGCATAAATTTATATTGCTCGTAGACATGAATAATTGCTCATTTAACTAATTATATTGCATATATGCTAAAAGACCTTTGCGCACATTGAATGGATGCAAGTTCATGTTTTAGAACAGTTGAAGTCTTAGATAATTTACTTAAGTTATAATTATAGTCTTAGAAAGTTTGTGTCGAATCTCTGCATGCCCGTAGATTATTAATTAACTATAATTGACTTGATATCTCTTTGGGGAAACTGCCTTTCAGATTAAACATTTCATTAAAAACTGTTTTATATGGTGACTTTGTACTTAAATACCATTCCTCATTATCAAATAAAGTACTTAATGTATTTTCATATAGATCTACATTTTTCAAAATAGGACTCTTATATTTGCTTTTGGTGATTATAGGTTTGTGAATATTCTTACATTCAGTGATTATAATTAGAACTGTACATGCTTATATTTGCTTAATGTTTGAGTACTCATGTTCATTTATTTACTCATTTGGTGAACTAATATTTATTGAGTACTGTCTTCCATATTGGTTATGTATATTGAGAGAAGGAAAAATTATTTGTTATTCTAAAGTTTATTATGTTTGTGCTTTATCATTGTATATTTATCATTAACAAGAGATAATCTGTTCTGTCATGAATTTATCTTATAGATGCTCCTGAGGTTTCAGTAACAGGCTATGATGGAAATTGGTTTGTAGGAAGAAAAGGTGTTAATCTCAAGTGTAATGCTGATGCAAATCCACCACCCTTCAAATCTGTGTGGAGCAGGTAATAATGTTAGATATTTCTAAAAAGAGTTTATTTAAAGGTGAAAAGTATTCTTAAATGCATAAAGTTGTCTTCTATCAGTGTAATATATGATTATAGTAATAGCTGAAAATTAAAATAAATGAAGGGTTTCTAAATGTTCTCCTATTCCGCTTCTCCCCACCTTCCTATCAACCACTGTTCTGTTCCTCAGAGACTACTTTAATGATTTTAGCATCTGATAGTAACCGTTATAGGTCTTAAACTGTTGCTTCTTGATTTAGTAATTTTTAATGCTATCTACTTCTTATCATGATAGATGAAAATTTAATTTTATATCTACCCCTTCATACATGTGTATACTCATATACATATTCCTACCTTTCATAGTCCCAGTGAAATTAAGCTACTTTTAGTTAAATTCTGTAATTATTATTTGTCTCTTTGTGACAGGTAAATATTATTTACTGAGAGCAAAGTAGTATACTGGAATTCTGTTTTCTTTTGTCTGAAGCTAATTGCTTGTTTTTACTTGTGTAGCATACTATGAATATTCTTAATTCTCTTTAATTATGAAATTTCAACTGTTACAGTAATGTTTTCATTCATATTTCTCAATATTTAGGGGCTCCTTCAATCTAGAGAGTTGTATTTATCAACTGTGGGTAATTTTCTTATTTTTTTTGCTCATTTCCCTCCTTTCTCCCCCCCTTTTTTTTCTGTTCTATACTAAATATCCTTTTGTATTTTTCAAATATTTTTATTATTTCTAGGAGACTTGCTTGATTCCCCCACCCCATGATTTAAAAAATTGGGGCATACTTTTATTTTCTAAGAACATTTTCTTATTCTCTCTTCATTTTCATACCATACTTTTATTAGTTTATGGGTATAGTATCTTCTTGTTTTCTCCTAGGGATAGTAGAGTTCTTGCCTCTGCAGACTTTTTTTTTTTTACCTATTGTCTCCTTTTTCCTCCTATTTTTTTCTTGTTTTCTGTCATTCTGTAGGTATTCCTTAGTTTTCTCAGTTGTCTAGTTATTTCACAGTGTTGCATTAAGTTAAAATGCTGAGTGGAAACTCTTCCCATAGTGGGGATTACTCATTAGTAGATTCCATTCAGAGTGACCAGATGGAGAGGTGGTTATTTCTCTGGGGAAGCTTCTGATGTCACCTATGAAAGGGTAGAAGTCTTTTCTTCATGGCCATTCAGTTTATGTATTGAATTAACCTTCATTCTTTTGCCTAAACATAAATGCCTGGTGTCTATACAGAGTTGGGTGTGTTGTCTATTATTTTGTTTTTTAACTTTCAACTAATGTTCTTATCTCTAGCCCCTTGCCTCACTCTGTTTTGAGTTCTCTGGGCCAAAATGGCTTCTCTCTCATCCATATGCCTCCTTGTGAGCACTACTTCAGCCCAAAGCAGAGCTTTACAAATCTGGGGCTGTTGATATTTTGGGCTGGATTAATCTTTTAGTGGGAGGCAGCCCTATTAATTTTAGGATGTTTAGCAGTTTCCCTGACTTTTAATCTCTAGAACCAGTATCACCTCATCTCCCCACTTCCTCTTTCCCTCCCCTCTACCCCGCTTGCTGCAACCAAAAATACCTTCAGACATGTTGTATATTCCCTGGAGACAAAAATCACTTCTGACAGAAACACTGGCCTAAAGCATACATTGTTTTCTCCATCTGTTTTCTGTCTTCTAAAAGTTTGAATCTTATCTGATGAATTCTACCTCCTGTTCTCTTTCTCATAGGTTTTTAACATAGCTTTAATTCCTTTGCTCTTGTTTTAGGTGGGATTTTGTGAATGTGAGGAAATCGTATGTTTGGTCAATCTGTTGCCTTTAAACAAATATACAGTTTTAAAAGTAGGGATGGCCTTTCATTTACATTTTCTTAAAAGTGGGAAACAGTCATTGGTTAAGATATAGAGTATTGCTAAAAGTTGTATAATTCTGGATTCTCATCCTAGTATCTGCTTGTAGATGCCCTTTTTTGAGGAAGTCGTCATAGTACTTTACAGAGTTTTTATGAGGGTAGAGACTGAATATAAATAATGAACATAGGTGCATGAGCACAGAAGGCACTTAGAATGTCATTTTTTGCAAGTTCAATGTGATACTTAGATTTTTCTCACTGTGGTTCATATGAGTAAACAATTTAAAGGATTATAAGACATTTTTCTATTTGCCAGAATTAAAGGGATTCAAATTTGGGCCCCAAAGTAGGGATAGTTGGAAAGATATAGTTTATATTTATTCTTATCCTCTTAGTAAAAGAATTCACCTTTTGAAAGCTGATGTTTGTAAAAATGTTCTTTCCAAAGTTCTCTTAAGAAGGAAGTTGAGTGTTTTTGTTTTTTTAACCATTAGAATATTACCTTTGTTCTCTTCATTGCTAAATTAAAGTACTGGCAACTGAAAGATTTTACTGATTGTTCTTTCACCTACTGCCCGTGGGAATCAGAATGAAATCATCCCTCCTGTTCTCCAGTGTTGATTTGCTTCATTCGACTGTTTTATTATTCTTTGTTTTTATTTTCTTTGTAATTAATTCTTGGTCTCCTACTAGTATTTAGATCATTGAAAGCAAGCACCAAATCTTAATGTAGCTTTGCATCTAAGCAACACTAGCAGAGGAGAGTAGGGTAAATAGTGGATGACTGAGTGAGGAAGTGAATTAACTTTTTGAAGATCTACTTAACTCAAACTATAGTAAGAAAAAGGGGTAAAACTCTTTTCTTTTTTAAAAAAAAGATAATGGCCTTTAGAACTGGTTTTAAAAGAAAGACCTATTGGTGGGGTTTTTTGGGGGGGTACCCTAAGGTTGTAAAAATGATGTATAGCAGTATACTTAGTTCCATTGCAGTGAATGGTGTTAGAGTTATTTTTTTTCTTTTCTTTTTTAAAAATATATCTTTATTGATTTCAGAGAGAGGAAGGGAGAGGGAGAGAGAGAGATAGAAACATTAATGATGAGAGAGAGTCATTGATCGGCTGCCTCCTGCACGCCCCTGACAGGGGATCAATCCTGCAGCCTGGGCATGTGCCCTGACTGGGAATCAAACTACAGTCTTCTCGATCCTAGGCTGACGCTCAACCACTGGGCCAGGCCTGGCTGGGCTAGAGTTCTTATAGTGGGATTTTATTTCCCAGTATGGTTTATAGTAATATATTAGATAGGACCTCTTAGCCAAGTTAGTATAGGCACCATTTAAAAAGAGTTACTGATACCAAATAGTGCCTTGGTTTTTATTGTCACAGATGTCCACCTTACAAATGAAATTATTTTATAAGAAGGCCCTTTTTGGTGGCTTAAAAACTAACCATCTTTAGATGGGGCATAGTATAGACTTGTCTTGCATTAAATGATGCTTCTTAAATATATTACAGTAAGTGCTAAAACAGAAGTACTTAAATGAGATGACTTGCCATTAAGAAAATTATAGATATAACATGAGTAGGTTCATAATTCACGGATAATTATTTTGATTCCTTTGATAATATGAGTATGCCTTCAAATAATGTTTTTCTAATTTTCTAGTTTTCTGAATATAATTCTTGAAAATCACATAATTTTTTCTCTCCTTCCTTCCCATTCTAATATATTAACTAAGGTATACCTGTATGAATTGATATTTTGAAAGAATTCTTAACGGACTTTACCTGTTAGTTCAACTTTATTAAAATAAAAATTCATAATGTAGTACATACTTCCATTTCATAGTCAAGTTTCCCCATAGGATGCTGGTTCTCTCACTAACACCTTAAAAGTTAATATGTTGTTTAAACAGCTGTCAATGAATAGAGACCGAGAATATATAAAATCATTTTATGCTTTTTCAAATCTAGGTTGGATGGACAGTGGCCTGATGGCTTATTGGCTTCAGACAATACTCTTCATTTTGTCCATCCACTGAGTTTCAATTATTCTGGTGTTTATGTCTGTAAAGTGACCAATTCCCTTGGTCAGAGAAGTGATCAGAAGGTCATCTACATTTCAGGTGAGTTACTGTCTACTTGCAGAGTGAGTACTTGAATTATTCCTGCAGTGATAGTCACAGTAGTAACACTGTAATCATGGTGGCCATTTATACTTGTGAAGATAGAGTTTCCTCAGTCTACGATTTTCCAAATAATTCAAAACATATACTAAACTAACTCTGTCTGAAAACATGTGTAAAGTGGCATTCCTTTACTTAAAGAATTGTCACAATGTTTATGCAGCAACTTTATGCACAGTTTAAAACCTATGTGTATAGTTGAATTTATAGTTAAATAGTATTAATTTATTTTATGGGTGGTGTGTGCCTTTCTAGGTTCTTTTGTCTTTACACCAAGAACAAACATTGGGGTTTTTTGTTTGTTTTTGGTGGATACTCTGCACACAAGTGTCTGATAAATAGGAAATCAGCTTTGATTACCTGGCTTGTTAAATAACATCATCACTCAGTATGTTACTATGCTGTATTAGATTACTGAGAGGTGAAGCAAGAATGCTACTGATGAAAATGTTCTAATGAAATAAAATTTAAGATGTCTTTTATTGTTTAAGGACTTAGATTATTCACAGTCCATTTGTTTCACCGTGAAAGTTTTTGTTAATTTGACAGTAAAAATTTGAATATTCACAAAATATAGTTAGAGCTAAAAATATATTGTTTCCTGGGTGTGGCTATAAATAATAAATTGTCAATGGAATTCTTATTTTTACAAATTATGTAAACTATTTTGAGCATCTCCTTACTGACTATAAGAATGCAGCAATCTTGATGCCTAACATGGAAACTTAAAGACAAAAGGAAGAGAACTTTGAGAAATGCAGGTTTGTATGGTAATTCTGTAATAGGTAGTTAAGATTTTCATTTCTGTTCAAATCTAAAACTAAATCAGAGATTTTAGAGAAATTTTAAGTGTGTTTTTATGTTATATTCTGTCCTTGTATGATCACTCAATCTAAGAAAAGTCCCCCGTATTATTTATTACAATTTGTAGTTGTATATTTATTTATTTACTTATCTATCCTCACATTTAAACAGTTGGTGTTCATTTACTTTACCACTTAGTTAATGCCTGGCATATGATACGGACTCATTTAAAAAAAAATTTTTTTTGCATGAATCTCACAAGAAGCTTAGAGCTGTGTACATCCCTAGTATCGCTTTTTTCCAGCAGCAGTGCTTTGGTGGAAATCAAAATAAGATTAAATATTAGTATACTGGTCTCTCTTTCTTCCCTTGGAGATATTTTATTAAAAAGATCCACAGGAAATACACATTTAAAATGTACTTATTTAAAGACTGCTTACTTTTTGTTTCTGTTGTACAAAATTTGGTGTGAGAAGTTACTTGTAAATCTTGGACTCAATGTGTTATAATTATGTAATCATTTAATATTAAGGCTCTATTTGGAAATCTTTTATATACTGATTACATCGGTGATATCCTAAATTAATATCTTTTGACATTCTGGGTTCACTTCCTAGTACTCCTGACTCGTGTGTCCAACTGCCTATTAGTGATTATTAACCCTTTATAGAAGTATAAATAGACATTTACAACTTAACATGAAAAACTGAGGTCCTGATCTTTCTCCTGCCCCTTGCCACTAAATCTCTTCCTCCATTAGTCTTCCTCCTTTCACTTATTGGTAGCTCTGTCCTTACTTTGTCTGAAGGTATAATCCTTAATACTTATCTTTGATTCTCATTTTTTTTCCTCAGACTCCACTCATTTCATCAACAAATTGTCAGCTCTCCCATTGTGTTATATACAGAACCTTACCAATTCTCCACTTCTATATATTCATATATTCTGGTCGAAGCCATCAGCAACTCTTACTTAACTATTAGAANGTTTCATATATTCTGGTCGAAGCCATCAGCAACTCTTACTTAACTATTAGAACAGCGATTTAATCTTTCTACTTACAATCTGTCATCAAATGAGTATGTCAGATCATGCCATGCCTCTCTTTTAAACCTTCCATGGACTTTCCATTTTACACACAATAAAAACAAAGTCTTTACAGTGACTTATAAGACTCTGTACATGTCCTGGCCCTAGATTATCTCTTTGACCTCATTTCTCATTATATCTCTTGCTCATTTAGTTTCAATCACACTGGCCTCTTTGCTGTTCTTTGAAAACAACATGCACATTTCTACCTCAGAATCTTTACACTTGCTGTTTGCACTGCCTTGAATGTTCTTCAGATATCCTCATAGCTTTTTTTCTCACTTTCTTTAGGTCTTTATCAAATATCACCTTCATAATTGTATTTAAAATTAAAACCTTTCTCTTCTAGCCTCTCTACTAATTTGTCCTTTTCTACCTTATTTTTCTTTACCATACATATTGCCATGTGACACACTGTGTATTTTATTTTATTTTATTTTATTATTTTATTTTAATTTTTTATACACTTGTTTCTTTTTACCCAGACTAGACCATAATTCCTAGGAGGGCAGGACTTTTGTCTGCTTTAATCACTACTGTATTCCCATCATCTGCAATAATGTTTATTAGCACATAGTAGGTGTTCAGTGAATTTTTGTTGCATGAATGAATAAATTTGTTTGATTTTATGTAACTTTTTTTTACAAAGTAACTGGTAATAAACTTTACATATTTTTAAGTCGTTCTCTACTAAGTTTTCTAAGAGGGGAAATAATTTTGAGTAAATGTGAAAAATCACAGTTAATTGCCACTAAGGACATAAGAAAAAGATAGCATTATATGAGAGAGTTTTCTTCAAGAAACCATCAAGAAATAGACTTTACTTTTTTATCGACAGTGTTTAATACAGTACACTATGCTGAGTTTATTTAAATCCTCTAAGAGCTTCTTGGAGTATATCACGTATCCTAGATAAAATACTGTCTTTCCAAAATGACTAATAAAGCCTACTAGGCTTTTATCAGAATAAAAGATCATAATTAACACAGAGTAAATGATCAGTTAATCTTTTGCATTAGAAAATTTTTTTACCTCAGTATTAAAATTGATATTTATAATTTTCTGAAATGATTACTAAAAATATTTGTAAAAGGAATGTCTTATGACTGAAGACTGAAAGTTCTACTCAGAACAGAGCTAGCAACTCTGTTTGAGAAATTGTTCACAATTTTATTATACATTTCCCATGTTGATAAACATAAGATTTTAGACAAGAGGTGATTGATTCAAAACTGTGATAGTCTACTTTAGTTCTTATGTGATTCTTTGTCCAATATGTGTTTTTCTAGTTGCTTTTTGAGTATTTTTCCATGATACCTCTTACTTTTCTTTGAGAATAGGGAGGCAAATTTTTATGTATTGCATAAGTTCCCCCCTGCCTAAAACTCAAAGTACATTTCTATGAAAATCTTGAATTTCAAATCATACTAATTTTAAGATCCATACATATTATCAGACTTAATAATCCACACATTCTTAGCAGTCCTTAAGCCTTAAAATTCATAGATTTTGTTTACTTAAAGAATTCACATAAAGTCTAAAAGAAAAGAAATGAATTAATTTAATTTTTAACATAGTAATTATTATGCTAAAATATACTTTATAGCTACAGTAGCCTCACTCGACTTTTTGTTTTTCTTTCCCTATTTGGCAGAACTCATTAATTTGAAAAAGAAACTTAAGAAGTTCTTCATTTAGGTGTGGAGAACTCAGTCTATAGCTCATTGCATTTGTTATATACTCATTTATCACATGGTCAGCAAGGACTATAAAAAAATAATGTCTGAAAAAATAAGAAATGCTGTTGGGAAGCATTTTAAATAATGATAAATAAGTACCTAATGATGATTTTGAAATACTAGTCTCTCTACCTCCTTACATGAATTGTGACTTTCACTGTAATTATCTTGGAGGAGGGCAACAATTAGAAAATATGAATAAATGTTGTATGCATTGTTATATGTCCATTGCTTAAAAATACAAAATAATATAGTATTAACACTAGTCCCACTTTCACGCAATCATATTAATAGTGAGACTATGCTATTTTTAACACTGGTTGAGGTAAGCTAAAAAATTTCCAGAACTCCTGACAAAATTAAATAACAAGGTTTTTAAATAGGTATTTTTGGGGTACTCCTTTTTTCTTTTTTTAAGTTAGATTTTTCTGAAAGCTATGTTTTGTTAATTTTGAGTTAGACAGATACCCGTGTGTGTGCACATCAAGAACATTCCAAGTAGAAATAGTAAATTTCAGGGATTGTTGTATTTAGGAAACTTGGTAAAAATGTTGGTATATCTTATACTTGGTGAAAGCTCAGGTATATGCACTGTTCTGAGAAAAATAGCATTTCATTAAGAGCTATTAAAAACTTTAAAAATTTTATGTGCATAAAAATGTATGAGTTATAAATAATTACTTAGGTGATTTCTACTTTTATTTAAACATGCTGATGCCAGTTTATTTTAATACTTTTTCTTTGGGAATCATTGTAAAGATGACATTTAATACTTAAAACTTGACTTTTCCATTAGTCCTCCCTCCTCAGAAAATACACGAGTTGTCTGCCAAATGATTAATTTTTAGTTTATTTCTTTAATAGCCTGGCTCTGTGAAGTTGGATTATATGAGGCTTTACTACTTGAATACTGTACTAGAAATGATCCTGTAATTCCACAGTTGTTTTATTTTTAAGATTAAATTTGTTCAGCTAGTGAATATTTTCTCACAAATTCACTTAACTTTGATTCACTTACATATAATAACTATTAGTCACTTCAAGGTACTTGACATGATTGCCTATTATATTGGTTTACACTGATAGGAAATTAGTTATACTGTACTTATTACATTTTATACTGTACTTGCTAAATTTTTACCACATTCTGTACATATGGCATTCCGTGATGAAACCTGTTTCAGTAAGTATTTTTCTTTAGCTTGTAATTTTAGAATAACTTATCCCATGTAGATTTAGTATTTTTCTAACAATCATTTTTTAAAAGCTCTATCAGTACCACTCATTTAAAAATTAATAATAGGAGAT